TCGGGTACTTTAAATTAGGCATAAGTGACTTATTGCAATTAATTTTGCAATTATATTTAGGAAACAATTATATTTCTGGGTCCATCCTCATGTAGCTTATTTTCAATACATACAAGGGTTGCCCAATTTGGGCTGATGAATTAGGACTAAGACGACTACGCCGCCGCCTCATCATCATGAATACAAACAATATTAATTGAAGTATTCCACGCGCTGACGACGAAAATGCATTTTGAGTAGTTCCTTTAGGAACGGTCTCTGGTTGGACGATATTTTAATTGATTACTAAATTCAAACATTACAATACACAAAATCCATGTTATTATGGTTTCTATAATAAGTGCAGAATTTTCAAAACCTCAGACTGCAAATCTAGCTTTTACGTTATTTTTTTGTGGGAAATAATGTTATGTATAATTTTAGTGGCGAACTTGAAAGATTTTTTTCACTCGACCGTGTGCTTTTCACCTTTTCTTGACGTAAAAATTGCATTCAGTCCACTATTAAAGTCGGAGATCTAGATACAATCGTCGTAGGATGTCAATTCTGCTGTACGGAAAATAATATTATAAAATTGATTATATTAATCAATTAAAATATTGCACAATAATATCGCCGTGTTTGTAACTGTTGATAGCTATATCCTGGTTAGCTACGAGAACGTAGCTAAAAACGTTGAGATATACTGATGTGTTTGTTTTTAGCTGCTTAATGGTTAGCGTGCGCGCGCTGTATCATAAAGTCTGTCATTTAGTCGGCCGGCGTGGTTTCGAATCCCCGGTTGTACGTGGCAAGGAGTAGGGTCGCCTGTCCAACCTCGTGGGTTTTCTCCGGGTCCTCCGGTTTCCTCCCACTGCTAAAGACCCCTACGCGCAAGCGAATTATGTAAATAAAATTAAACCATATGTTAGTCCCGAAATGACCTAGTTTGTGTCGAGTGGACGTTAAACCCCATTTCTCTCTCTCTTTCTCTTGTTTTTAGCTACGATTGGATGCCTTTAGTTCCAAGTGGCAAAATCAATTTCTTTATTAATGCATGTAACATCTTTAAAATAGATAAGTTTATGATATTATGATTAATTAAACTTACAGAGGCCAATGTAGTGGCACAACTGTCGCCTAACTCCAAATATTCGCGTTTAAATTAATGAAGCGTTGTTTTTGTCTGACATTTCACCGCCATCGAAATCCATTCATAGTTACTGTGCTTTCGATTGTCCTTTTGATTGGCTGTTATAAAAGCCTTATATTTAGCCCCGCCTTCATGATGACAGCGTATCGTTTAAAAAGATGGCGGTCTTAGTAACGGCTTAACGCCTCGATTTTAAAAACGACGATTTGTACCCGTTTCAGGTAGGATTATATGCTTAATTGTAGTTGGGTGTTGTAGAAATATTATAAATAACAATAATCAATCGTTGTTTTAATTAAAACTATTGTCAATTTTGTTTAAAAATGCCGGGTGTGGATCGCTCCCGCTGGTGCAACGTTATAGGTAATGGCCTCATGTCTTATCTCGAAACACGGAGGGTTGAGAGATTAAGGTTTGTTATCTATATCCTGGTCAACTCCGTCGATAATGTGCATTTGGATACAGCAAGAATCGAACGCATCACAACTGCCAAATTTGCGACTAGAAAATTCGGCTTGTTATGTAACCTGAACAGTATTTTCAAGACGGCAAATCATGATTTGCGAAATTGCTCGAATCGAATGCAGTTTAGTCTCCGAACCTAGTCTTTCTCGTTGCTTTATTTTAGCCAGATGGTAAACAAAGGTGCTCAAGTCCCCTAGTTATTTCTCACTACATGACTATTACTCTACCTTTGAAATAGTTTCTTGTTGGAGTTTTTAAACATCGTAAGGATCAATAACTAGCCACAATTGATTGAATTATAAGCTAGGTTCAAATTACCAAGGCAACAAAGTGAGAAATAGCGAATTTTCTTGCAACTCATTATGTCATATTGCTATATTTGGTCATTTTACAGATCACCTTAGAACTTCTTTCCAAGACATTATGAAAGCAATTTGCGGACGTTAGCATTGCTTGCATAAGAATATACACGTTTGGAATTGTGTTATAAAACGTTAATACTGGTTTTACACAGGACTTATAAGTGCCATTTTCAATTTTTAAGGTGTTGTGTCAAACATCCATTAACATGTTAGAATGGTGTCTTTAATCAGTGTAACTGACATGGATTTAATGTTTAGATAGTGAAACAAATTTGGACGTGGAAACTTAGTTTTTCAGGTTTTAAGAGGAAAGTGAGATGAAGATATAAGTATATAAGAATGTCGTTCGGGCGATGTAGTACATTAATAAAAATTGGGATGATGTGGTCATAAAATAGTGAGATAATCAGACAGCTAGCTGCTTTTCACTCTTTGATGCTGATGTATAGCGCTTTTGCCCGGTCAGCCATCGTTTGCGTATATATTTCATTCCTCGTTCTTTCATATGGTATGGTATCCATTAAATAACAAGAAATTGGATTAATAAATTCGCCGCATCATTATGTTTTTGGCTATATGTAGCTTTCTTCTGAAAGTTTGTCAGCAACCCACAACGGTTTGATATTAGCAAAAATGTTTCATTTGGTGCTAATTTGTTATTTATATAATTATTTATTGTCCATTTTTATCTCTACCACAGTATACGTGAACCCAGAAGAGCAATCAAGAAAATCGATGTTGTTTTTAATTCATACTTTTATTAAATTAATTTGTCATAATAAGCTGTTGATGCTTCAGACAACCGCTTCGTAAATGTTCGTGGCGACCATTCAATCCTAAATCATATTGTGTAATAACTCGAGTTATATTCCAAACACACCGGATATTACCGGAATATGTCGAGATATGCCGAATAGTGAGAACACCATCGTCTTCGGTCACGTTCTTGTGTCAGTGGTTCGTTCGTTTCTGGGGTTTTACGTCCACTTCCACCTAAGGTGATATCGTAGACAAGGTGTCAGTGGTGATGCAGCACGTATTTATAGTCTTGATTGTTCTTTAAATAATAGGAACCCGTGGTGGTTTTCCCTTGTGAGCGATGCCGTGTCTGGCAAGGACAGCGTTTGGTCGTTCGTATGAAATGAAAAATCCAAGTCCCGTGTGGGCCTACACATTGGCGTGCACGTAAAAGAACCCTTGATAGTTGAAATTCGGAACAAGAGTAAGCTGTAGTACAGTGTAAAGCGTATGCCCGTCTTCATTAGCCCAGTCGGTGCAGAACATCACGGTTTAATAGTCTGAATGTCCTTTAAATAATATATGCCAGTAAAACAACCAGTATTAAACGTAAAGTGTCATTCACGGTAATTTGACAATCTTTTCACGCTACTCTTGTCTCCATGGAATCCGTTTTAGCGCCTTTTGATAAATTTTGTATTCTTCGTGTATGTTTTGCCAGCAAACAATTATTCTTGCGATGGACGGATCTATGGTCCTGGCTATAGGGTAGTGATAAAGCACGGGTGTTGGTGGGTTTCCGTTGTTGGACGAGAGAGAGAGAGAGAGAGAGAGAGAGAGAGTAACATTTTATTTCTATAATTCGCTCGCGCGTAGGGGCCTTTAGTTGTGGAAGAAAAACGGAGGATCCGAAGAAAACACACGAGGTTGGACAGGCGACCCTACTCCTTGTCTAAACCACGCCAGTTAATTCAGCGGCAGACCTTATGATACAACGCGCACTCGCTAACCATTCAGTCCCCCAACCCCCCCGTTGGGCTCGACCCAGTTCCAGGAGAAATCGCAATTTGTGATTTTTAATCTCTGATTATACATCATAATCCGACTATGACGTGTTCTGATGGACACTCTACAAACCAATGGGCTTGGAAAAACCCTCGAGTCTAATGAAGGAAAATTCTGACTAGTTGTTCAAATGGAACGAAAAGTTGGGGTTGACCAAAGTAAAAGTATTAGTGTGCATGAAAATGTTTCTTACACTCGTTTAAGCTTATAAATAATACAAAAACCTCCTAATATTCACAAAATGACCGAAGTATTTTGTTGATGAGACGTAAACCACGTTGATTTGCATTCCTAAAGATTCGTTTTGAGGTTTTTTTTAAAAACGTTAGTATTAAAATACTAATGTCGTTGTTGCGGTTAGACTCGGTATCCGGTTTGGACCGCGCTTGTGCTCGATTGAAAATGAATCAATTATTTAACTTTCGTCCACTATTTTCATATTGAACTAATTTAGAACAGCTGAGAATTAATTCATCATGTTGCTTCACTTTTATTTTCACTGTCCTTGGATTACAGAGATTTTAAAAAATCCATACCAAGGGATTTATTACTATTCCTTGCCATAACTCCATCCTGCACCAATGACAAGGGGAAGACCACGTTGGAAAATATCGAGGAACTTTCTCAGCGAACACCGGGATTGAACCGGGGACCTGCTGGTTAGTGAGTCAGCAATATAATCACTGAGCCACCGTGAATCCTCACACAATACCCCCCCCCCCCGTAACGTAACTCTCTTTCAGGAATATATTTTCATCCGCGCCAGTCTCTGAGCAACAATTCCCAAGACCATTCTTAAATGACATATTCCTTTCAGTATATCGATACCTTTTAAAAGGGGTTACAAGTCATTAATATTTCAATGTGGAAGTAGCTGTTAATGTTGATGACGGATCAGACTCTAGTCCCGTGATTGGGGGTCGTGCTAACACCTAACATTGATTGCAAAATTGCTCGGTTTACGCGATGTTGTTATTCCTTAGTAATTGAACGTAATAAAGCGCATAGTTTATCATACATGTATATACATATCAACATGCAATGTATTTTGCGAAGACATATACATCAAGAAGAATGACAAATAGGCCTTCAGGTGTATTGTGGAATATAGACTTCTCTGGAAGGTTTACTTGAGCTTAGTTTTTCTGAAATATAGAGAGACGGTGGTATTTGTGTATTGGACATTTACTTCACATGTAATTGATCTTCAACAATGACATGACAAATTCTTTATTTACCTTATAAGGATTTCCCCACCAGACGTAATAACTTCTCCGTCTGCCTTTCTCTTCATTGTGAGGATCAAATGGAGTCTTTTGTGACATGTGTAATTGGACGAGTCGGGGTAAATGGAGCTTTAAAAAGTATAATGAGAAACAGAAGACTCATATCAGAAATATTCCTAAGGAGATGAATAATAACGACTAGAATATTCATTGGAAGCAGCAATTGAATATGATTGTGAATAACAAATAATTGATTTTTGCTCAAATTACAATTTTCCTAGATAATCAATTACAATCTAACAAATTGTAATTGAATGGAACAGCTGACATTTAGTTCAGTTTCAAATGTAACAAAATTTATGTTTCCGGATTTAACAACCTCTAAGCATAATGGTACACGCGTTGTACGTCAATCAATTACAATCCACGAATTTTTTTTAAACGGAACACAAATAATTTGTTCATCAAAAGACAACCGAAAAAGGAGCAGCCATGTATGCTATCATTTACAACCAGTAGTGACAGCTGTTGTGTAAGAGACAGAGTAGGTACACCCGATAACAATCTTGTTTAGGGAGTTAACATAGCTAATAAATTGTGACTGTAATTTTGCATTGAATCGAGGGTCTTGGAACATTTGTAATTGAACCATTGAAATTTATGTAACACAAATTTCTTTTTTGTTTTTCAATACCTCGACCCTTCTTCCCTTCCTCTCCCCACAAATCAAGGAGAAGATATGTTTTAAGCCAGCGTAAGCCTAGAGGTGTAATTAATAGGATGTTGTTATCCGAGACATGGTCGATATACTGGAATTGACATATTGATAGACTCGTTGAAATTTAATCAATGACTTTTTAACTGCTCTACTTTCTTATGGAAACGTGGATTTTTTCTCGTTGTAATTGATTAGTATTTTAAATTCTAATGCTACTTATGCAAATAAAACGGAACAATTGAACATACTTTTGTAATGGATTTTTAATGTGATATACACTAATATCAATTAAAATGCACCACGATATCTTCCAGTTGAATATGTTCAATCAATAAAGTAATTTTAGAAACCCAATACAATTGTTTCAAAAGTTTAAAGTTTGGAATATTCTCGCATGATTTTACACTCTAAATATTTGGATGTTCCCTACCGTAAAGGAAACCGCTGTTATTCCTGCTACGCTGCTTCAGTCTATAAAATTTGAACTTAAATTTTAAAAAAAAACAACATAATTGTGTCGTATGAAATTCCTGTATCTCATCAGCAACAATGCTTCGTTTTGATTATTAACTAAATTATATTTAGCATTGTTATAATTGATCTACCTCTTTCGTGTGCGGTGATTGATGTCGACTGTCCGCTCACTTCTATATCGTTCAATCTTTTATTATTAAACTAATAGTTTGGAAACAGCGATACATTAAGAGAGAGAATTTATCTCAGTATGGCATCCAAATGGAAAACATTAAGTGCCTCTTTTCAACCACAAGAGTCGAAATTCGGTAACCTCGTCTGTCAACCCGTAGCTACCAAAGACAACCCTTGCAAAAATGTTCCGAATAATAAGTTATCGAAGACTGCTCTATCGCCTGAAAAGATTTTAAGCAAATCGTCAAAAACAGCTCAACCAAAAACTCCAGCACCGAAACATGGAAGCCAGTCATCTGAACGGAAACTTGACTCGGAAATCGAAAAAAATCTGGCTGCATTCTCTTCAAAATCTAAACCAGGCTTGTTAAACCGGAACCTAATAATCCCCAATAAAAGCTCCGAAACTAAAGGGAAGGAAAGGACTTCAGATCCCGGAAACAGGGGTGCATTAAAAGCCAAGACAAAAAATCACGCAGGATACTTGACATCATCACTGTCAACCATGACCCCGACCCGGTCTAAAAGCGACACATTTCAGCCTCGTTCACCAAACAGTGAAAATGTACGTCAGACATTCAAGACAAGAGGCAACAGTGAAAGGCACGTGAATTTTAATTCCAATTCGCTGTCAGCCAGCCACATATCAGAACTTCAATCAGCAACGTCCACTCTATCAGAAAAGGGCGCAAAAATTGAGTTTTTAAGCGGGAATTCGGCCGAGCTAACAAGGTCTCTTAATCGACGTGCTGCCCAATCATGTCAACTAAAGAGGTCTGCTACCAAGCAAGTGGTTTATTATCAGAATCGATTTATGGTTTTAGAGTCTATTTCACTGCCGAGCAGCCTTCACCAAAAACTCAAAGCAGGTTCTATTCATTCTGGCTCATTACAACTTGCTCCTGATGTAATACAAGCCTCGATCAAACAAGACGTTGATCGAAAACGATCAAATCAATCCGGAAAACGACTGGATATTGATTCTGAAGAGCAAGCTTTGGCGGCAGATGTTAACACGCGCTGTTCAGGAAGTGATAAAAAGCGCGTGGCCTCGGGACAAGCAGACGACAATTTGGTCCCGAACGAGGAACGCATTGACAATTGCGCCACATGCGCTACGAAAAATACATGTGCTACAAACATGGAAATGGACGCATCCTCCGTTACTATGGATGCACGTGCAATTGAAATAGTGATAACGGATGAAGCGGATAATAGCAGGCGAGTGAATGGCGCTAAACAGGCGTCAATTTGGAAAAGAATTGGTCGCGTTCTGATTGACAATCGCATGAAAGGAAAACCCGATTGTGAACGTGTGTTACGAGGACATCCTGAAGAAAATATAGTATTAAAGCGCGTTTTAAATATTATATTTATCATCATAGGGGTGTGTTTACTTGTTGCAGTTTTCATCGTTATCATATATACAGCAATCGGTAAGTAAAATTAAAATCATTTTCGCAAGCTCCATTTATTGCCCTATATTATGCAAAACCTACATTTTACGATTTCTTTTTTTATTTTACAATTTTATATCGATTTTCGTTTACCGCCTACTTAGATCATTGAAATACAACGGCAGGTGTCGGTCACATTAAACTACAATATACTTACTCTCGCTATAATATATAGGTATAATATTGTTCATTTTATTGCTAAATTCAGTATTTAAATTTTCATTTTGATTTTAATATAAATGCGCCTTCATTTTACCCCGCCTCCACAAGTTGTAGAAAAAACCCCACCAAAAATAGTTTTTAAATAATTTGTTACTTACCATCTTTCGAAAGCTATTTATATTCTAATATTTACTATACATCAATCATTTACTTTATAACTCGAACACCATTGTTTTTCAAAAACTTTTATTTTAAACAATGCACTCTTGTATTTCACTAATTACTCTAATTTTACGAATTAAGTGAAAAAATGAAAACAAAATAGTAGTATTATATCTTTAAAATATCATACATTTAGTGAAAGCATTATATAATACGGGTCTATCATGCCTTTATTGATTATACTATAACTTTTTAATAATGGCTTGAGTTTATATCCCGCGCTTTTATTCTTCTCGTTCATCGCACATTTCGTAAAAGTAATCTAAAACCGATACAGTATATGGGACTTAATAAAATGACAATAATAAGTGTACAATATGAGATTTTTATTTTCCAGCTTGCGTTATTCCTTCACTTCAGTTGAATACTGCGCAGAGCATAATACTATTAGATACAAACGTATTACCTTGGATAGCCGATGCGCAAAAAGGACAAGGGGACCCTGAGCATTTGGTGCCACCAATGTCCAAAATCGAGGCATCACCTAGGGTGTAAGCCCTATCAATTTTCATTATTTTGTTCAGTATCTGGACGGGGGTGGTGGGGTATACTCGTTTAAAAATGTTCCGGGTTGAATTCTTTCAATCCATCGAAAAGTGCGAATCGAGTAAACACGATAGTTTCCTGTGACAAGGCTTGCGTAAACAGAATATTATCCTATCTAGACCATTGCTGAAACGGTGGTTGAGTAGCCGAGTGGTTTAACGCGTGCAAATATATCTGCTATTTCGCATGACTTTTTCCATTTTGGGCACAATTGCGTGGAATTTGTGTAAAGCTTGGGCCTACGTTTTGTAGCCACGATTTCCTAATTTGCTTGAACGAAGCCCCATATTTAAAGCTACTGGTGCGTATGTTCCGCAACTTTTTCATATCGGTCCAATAATTGCGTATTACTATATTTGTGAATTTGTGCGATTTATAACCAACAACTACATGAAGGTCGCTGATTTCCTGTAATAACTGGTACTGGTGTTAATGATACTGGCGCGGAGTCGCGTACAGAGAGGGGGATAGGGGAGCATTAGTCACACATCCAATCAAAGAGTGAAAGTAAAGTTCAGTTTTTGAAATTTGAAATTATCGCTGTTAAATGTTTTGTACAAGCTGTCTTACATAATTTAAATGAAAAGTTTATATCGTCTGGTTACATATTTAAAGGAGCTAAATTCCTATTCTTTGGCACCTAGAAATGGACACAAATGGGTCGCAACGCATATATAGTAATGTAATATGAATGTATATAAACTAATTTACATTCAATTGTTTCTGTTTTTACTGTAATTTATAATCAGTTACGTTCGGCGAAATATGCGAAGAGTCCAAATTGAATGGCAGTCTTTTCTGGTTATGACAGTCTATAATTCTCGTGTGGGTTATGTTTAGCCTCGTTCATCGAGTCGCTACATTTTGAAAATTTCGTTTTGTTTTAAATATTGGATATCAGAAGCCCAACTTTTTACGGTAAGGTGACATTATCAATGTTGATTTATATTGACCAATGAGTCGTGTTTGCAATGTCACAGACTGTGGATGATATTGAGTGAGAGACTTACCTCCTTTAAAATGTCTTCCTTTATCGCATTTCTCAGTAATAGTCCCTATACTTGAGTCTTAGGGGCATGTTATATTGGGTCTGTAAGAATTTTTGGTTTGGAATTGACATGGCCGTGGGATGTCTTTTAACTAGTTGCAGCAAGAAAGAATCAAAGTCCTTGATATGTACAACTAACCTGTCATTTCACCGTTGTAATGTGACCATCAACATTCTGATTACCGGAACTTCTCGAAAAACCATGACAGATCTCTACCCGATGGACTAAAGGTCAACAACTCACATAATCAGACAGCATGTAGCCTTTGCGACTTAGTAATACGACAATATCAACAAGATACGTTTTCTTCATTTTCTTTGCACGTCGATGAAATCTGTATCCTAGTTCATTCATTGTTTGTGTGAATCTGTTCGTTTTTATAGACCTGAATTCGTATTATCAGAAAAATGAATAGTTTCCCGTTGGCTGAATACCTAGTTATTTTCTCAATTCCGACAAGTATTTGAGGGTTGTCGGGGGTTTGCAAATAATTTATTTTACACGTAGTGTGAGTTAATGTAATAAAAACTAAAAGGATACGTTCGCTTAGTTCCATAATAAAAAATCAAGAAATTTGCGAGTTCGATCTATTGGTTGATTAAAATGTAATTAAAAACTGAAACATCTGTTAAAACAAAATTTTTTCAGGCTTGATCTAATATATTTGAAAATAGAAAGGTGAGCTGGAAATGTTTTGGACTTAATGAAATCGGCACATCGTTTAAAATTGGGAAAAGAATAGGATGTTCTTCGATAAAATTCAAAGATGTATAGGAAGCAAATATTCTGAGATGAAAATCTTTTAACATTAAAATTGTGTATTTCCGAAGATAAAACCGATTACGATATAACCGATTTTGTGTTGAATACAACGGGAATAAGAAAACTGAATTAGTATATGTCCGCCAACGGAATGGGAGCTTTATTGACAGCCAAAAATCTGAAAATGAAAACGGAATGGTATCGAATGCTATAGCTGGTAACTATATGTCGTTATATGAGGCCGGGCATCATTACTGACTAACAAAACCTTATGGTAAACGAACATGAAACTATTTAAATTGGACTACAAGGTTTTCGGTTTTAATTTGGTGGAAAGTTTACAAATATTCTGGAATATGTAAGCTATTCCATAAAACGATATGCAAGATTTAGTGTTAAAGAAACATTGGATATCACCGCCGGTGGGTAACAGAATAATTTTCGATTTGCCTTGATGCAAATGTACATTGCTTGGATCTAATAAGCAGGCGAGTCTTGGAATCTTTTGTGATTTGTCTAGGTTGCTATGAAATCAATTAATTTTTTTTATTGTTGAAAGTGACAATGCTTCGTTCTTTAGGTTATAATTGTAAACGTTCAGTGCCCTGACACGTGATTTTAGTCATCGCAGGGCGGTTCATCAATACTTTTGTTTCACAATAATTGCAATTTCCAGTCCTGTAATCTGGATTGTGATGATGATAATGATCTCTAACACTCTCTTCTTTCTGAAGGTAAATTTGTTCTCGGTTTCGAAAATAAAGTTCCACATCAGGACATCTGACATTAGATATATGTTTATTTGTGCAGTCAAGTATATATAGTCAGTTTATGATAAGCATACAGGTTTTCCTAACGATTTTGGAACTTGCTGTACATCTAATAAGGTAAGATTTTTTGTAGGTGTTTACTTTCATTTCTGGAGACATCATTTTGATTTACGTTGTCCCAATGCTGTTTATTCAAATTTAAGCAAATCTGCAGTGTTTTAAGAAATAAACAATTTGAAAACAGTATCATATATAAACCACATTAGTTTGTTATGTGGTCTTGGTTGAGTTTGTCCAGTCTTTGTATGCTGCTCCCATTGAAAAAGAAATAGAGACTGCTTGTCTGATGTCAAATAAAATTTAATGATTCGAACGATGAACTGTAATATTTCAATGACAGAAGGTAATGATTCAATGATAAAACTTATTGGTTTAAATGATTAAACAATAATTCCATTGTTAAAGATTAAATTTATGATACAACATAATGATTGAAATGATAAAACTTAATATAAATAAATATTTGAATGAGGCAATTCGATAGCTGTTTCCTAAGGCTAAAGGTTTATTTAAAGGTAAGGATTGAACTGAATGTTATCTCCAGCTTATATATATAGGCCTATAGTTCAAGAATAATTCCCTTTAGGAATACAACGTCTGCTCTTATTGGTGATATTCAGAGGACAGAATATAAGGAAATATTTAATTTAATCTTTCAAGAAACCCTGCAGATGTGTTTATTGTCAATCAACCTGAGAAAAAACACATTTTAGGGCTTCTTAAATAATCATGCTTTCAACATTTCAATTGGCTTAAAATCTTTTCCTTTTTTGCATTAAATAGATTTGAATAATATAATATAAGGAGTTGTAAAGTTCAAATATAATGAAATTATGAAAGATGGAGGACCAAAACTTTTGGGGGGGAATTGAATTTAAAGTCTGTTTGTAGCATTAAAAATGAAGATGAGATTGAAAACAGGCTTGACAGTCTGATTCCATTTGTAGTCTTTAATACAATTGTGTGTGTTTTATGGAGGGTTGGATTCCAAAGATGGTACAAGAACGTTCACCACCCTGACCATTTGTGTATCTCAAATCAAGCAGTAGTTTCATATTTCTTTTGTGGGTCTCGCGAAGGATGCTTAGGATTTCACAAGCCTGCTATTTCAAATGGGCGTTGCTTTGTGCACTGGTTAGAAACATTTGTTACTGTACTTTCTTTATAACGTTCAGAGAATACTCTTTAAAACTTCATCTAAATAAATTAGTAACTGTTCTTCCTAAACTTTGTGTTAAAGGTTATTGCTTGAGTAAATATAAGCCTCTTAAGGATTATTGACTCTCAGGGTGTAGGTGGTATAGCTGACAACTAAACTACTGTTACATCTTATTTGTTTGTGTAATCAACTGAGATCCAGTATACATATTGGTAAATTCATTTTGGTCAATTGCCGTTAGAATTCATA